GTTCGAGCTTCCAGAGCAGCGCTGGCCCATTGAAATAGAGCGTTTTCCGTTTTCTAAGGGACAGTACAGAGTTTGATCTCCTCCCAATATTGGCGTATAAGTGCAGTGCAAGTAGACTGCTCTGGGAACTCAAATCATTTTGAGATTGATTAAATTAAGAAATTCATCTAAAGTCCCACTTCTGCCCACCTTTTATTGAAGGTTTTTCGTTTCTGGTTATCTGTCAACCGCGGAGCCACCTTTCTCCTTCTTTTTTTCTTTATCCTCTTTATCCTTCCTTCTTTCTTTCTTTCTTCCCCGTCCTTTTTCTATTCCTTTCAAAAGCTCGGCCAAGAGATGCACCGAGAAAATGTCCCGAGACCCTTCAAGCGAAAGAGTGTCCAGTCGACACAGGCCCTGGTAACTCCTCTTTTCCTACTATAGCCGTTCGTGGGTTATCTGTGCATGCAGGTAGGATGCTAGAAATATTCAACATGAAGCTTTCACCCTTTATTGAGGGTTTTTCTGTCGAACGAGGTCGCCTTTTGCCAGCGTAGTGATGAGTGGCGAAGACAACCCGCTCCCGTCGGTCCTCGATGTGGATGGATCGATCTTCGCCTGTTACCCCAGTTTGTGGACATCGCGCCACATTTCCATACCGTTCCTCTTTCATTTGTCCCTCGACGCGTTTTTCTTTTGTGAAAATCCTTGAAAAAACTATGAAAATATCTTTATAGTAATGAAGGGTGATGCCATCGGTTTGCCAAGCAAGTTAAAGCATCAAAAACCTCCAAAACCGTCTAACAATCTAACATTAAAGTAAGTTTTTTTTAATTTTAATGACTTTTTTCTATCTTTTAGAGAACGAATTCTTTCAGTCATATATCGAATATTCAAGTGGAATGCGATGATCTAGCTAATCTGGAAATTCATGAGCATTTCAAACTTCGTCTAGAAACCTATAAAATATGGGCTCATTGTATAGCTAGAAAAAATGTTAGTTATTTGGCTTTATTCCATAATTATTACTCAAAAACTTTTTTTTTACTCAAACACTGCCTACAGAATTATTCGGTATCCTGATCATGAATATGACATTTGTTTCTGTAGCTGGCGCCGTTTTGCTCCAAATGGCACCATTTCGGACATTTTTCACCAAAATCGATAGAACTTGCGTAGTAAATGGTTTTCACCCTCCCTGCTCACAGACATGACCACTCATTTTTCAAGATAGCCCGGTTCGGCGCTCTGCTGAGGCTGGGCTAGGAAGAGGAGTGTTACCCTTTCCGCCAGGCTCAACCTTAGCAGAGCGCATATGGTCAGCCCTGCTTTGGCCAAGAATGAGTGATCAATTTCGGTGGGAAGGTGATGGCGCCAAATAGCGCCACCTTTGAAAACGAGCGCAATCTTCGTGATCTGGACGTCAATTACCCCCATATACAAAATTTCATCGAATCTGTGAGAGTTGCGCCAGATCGCGCCAGCGTCAAAACTGAATATCATCTCTGTGATCAGAGCACTTAATAACTTCCGTGGGCCAAGTTTTAATGAAAATTTTCTTTTTGTAGTAGTAATAATGCCAGCTTTTACTTTACGCTTTTTGTCTTCCTTGTTTCCTCTATTAACTGTTTGCAGTGTCCAGAAATTCTTATCGATGGCTTCAAATCCGATGTAAGCAACGATTTTACGTTGATGATTAACTGGTTAGCGATCACTAATGAAGAGGTATTGTTTTTGTTGCAATTAAAGACGCAATTCGGCGACGGAAGGGGCATTTTGCGCTTTCTCAGCTTCACTAGTTCCGCTTTACAAGTCTCACTCTGGTGAAACCTGTGAACTCTTGTGAAGTGGAGTAAAGAGTTAGAGTTAGAGCTTGAAAAGTCTGACAAATACTTTTCACAAGAGTTAACAGGTGGTCTCTTCAAACGTTGGCTGGTATCATTCGTCTTCACAACATTTCACAGGTCTCCACTTGATAGCTCGGCCGGTCAACGGGAAGTAGCGAAAGCGCAAATGCCCCTCCCCCCGCTGCCACGCCCGGTAGAATTAAGAATCTCGTATTAGAAAGAGATTTTTGCAACTTCAGAGCCGATCCGTACTGGAATCTAGTTGTAGTAATGGTGATGGTTCGATGAAACTCGATGTAGCGTTGGATCTGTTATTCCGCATGGGTGTTCCACAAAAACGAACAAAAGGTGGGCGATTAAACATTACTGTTCAATTCCCCGCAGTTAAGCCTTGAAGCTTTTTATAATCTATGTTTTTTATCTTTTGGTGTTTTTTTCACTAGGGAGGTTTTTTAGAGGAATTTTTATTGATGATCTAAGGCCGCGTTTGCAAAAACGCGACCTTGGGGAAGCGGTGAACCCGCGAGAAAGGATGCATTTATATCGACTCGGAATCTCGAAATTCACCGCTATATTTGAAGGATAACGGAATGGGTAGAATTTGGAGAAAGCTTTGGAGATTTATTGATTTCGACGACCCGCTCAAGTGGGCACTCGACAAACTCAATTTGTATCTACTCCTTTTCGCCACTGGTCCTTTTGCTCAGTGCTTTTCCGACCACCTTTCCGTGCTTTCTCCAGGTGGGGGTGATAAAGTGGCAAGTGGCACGCTAACCACGCGCACGGTCCGGTATCAAATTCCGGAGCGGTTCCTGCTCAAGTCAGCCAAGCATTCTACCCTTCAGGACGGTGCCAGATTCGGTTGGGAGGATAACTGACTTGTACATCAGCTTGTACGATTCTGAATGGAAGGTGCCGCGTCCCAAAAAGGGGTTGACTAATGGCGAAGACGTTTCCTTCATCCTTATCGTCTTTCTGAGAAGGTCGATCCACCCCCTCATCACGAAAAATTGCCGCTCTCTCAGTCGTTAATGTGAGAAATATGAAAATAAGCAGTAGTTCGGCGACGGCGGGAGGGCATTTTGCACTTTCCCTGCTTCACTAGTTCCGTTTACAAGTTTCTTTTTGGTGAAACCTGTGAACATTTGTGAAGCTGGAGCAAGCTCGTCGAGCCATCATGGCAAATGGTATTTGTAAGGTATTTCATTGCTCTACAAAAGCTGACTGGTACTCTTTACAAGAAATGACATTTGGTCCCTGCAAACTTTTGCTGGTATCACTTTGTGGCTCCACAAGACTCACTGGTCTCCAATGCATGGCTCGACACGTCGTTGGGAAGTTGTAGAACGCCACTTCCTACCCACCTCCCGTCGTCGAACTGCCCCCAAATATAGATTTTCCCTGAGCTCTACTGCAATGAAACTATTACATAAAATGAGGAGCTCTTCTTTCTTTCAAGTTTTTGACGACGTTTCAGTCCTACGCCCTTTCAGGTCTCTGAATTGTAAAATTCTGTACAAAACAATCGCTTACTTCTG